CAACCCGGATAAATACATTCAAGCTGTAGTGCAGATCCATCAGTCAAAAATCAAATCAGCTGCAGCACTTTTCAGCCCATATTATAATGTTAGTTAGAATATTCAATGATTTCTGAGGACGTCTATAACATGCATATGGGACTGTCACATATGGAATTAAATGTGGCCTAATTAATCGATTCATGCATTCAAACAACTCTAATTGTAAAGTGCAATTATAGCAATGAAAAATAAAACGTATATAGAGTGTTATACAGCAAGTCTTAAATTCACAAAACATGGCATTTACAATTTCACAATGGTCCCGCCTAATAAGAACAAAGCAATCAAACAAACAATGCAGTGCATATTGAAATGAAAACATTAGCATAATAAAAACAGACATTCAGCAACAAATGATGCCATCAAACATCACTGTACATCACTGATGATCACTTATTGGCCAGTAGAGGGCAGTGATGTGCAAGAACATGTGTTCACCAAGGTATAAAAAGCACAAGTAATAAAATCCGCAGACAGTTCTTCACATTCAGGGTTACAGTGAAAAACACAGCAACCAAACAGCAAAGCATATAGCGCGCAATGAACTCCATCACAAATCACTCTCATAACCACGGTCACATATCGAGCACTAAAAGGTGTCCTGGACAGAATATTGTTCAAGTCTCTATATTAGGGGTGTCCAGACTCAGTCCTGGAGGGCTGGTGTCCTGCATATTTTAGTTCCAATCACAATTAAACACAGCTAATCAAGCTCCTTCAAGAAACACCCAGGCAGGTGTTTTGAAGGAAGTTGGAGCTAAACTATGCAAGACTGAGTTTGGACACCTCTACTCTATGAGGCTATGAAAAGTAAAACATCACCTGAAAATGAACAACAATAAGGACACGTTTAACCCTTTAACTGCCACACCAAGAAAAAGCAATAGAAAAAAATTTGCATTGCATTTTTAAACTCCTAATGTCTCAAAATCACATTCAATGCATTTTTTTCAACACATTCTATAATTTCTAAAATATCCACCTAAACCGAATAGTAGATTTGGCGGCTTATGGTAAAAGTACAAGAATAAATAAAAATGCAATAAAAATCAGAAAATATGACGTGTAAGAGCAATTTATTTAAAAACTATCAAAATAAAACATTTTTGAATATTAAACCATAGCCAAAGGCCATACATTATTTTAGATTCTCATTTAACAGCAAGTTTTCTGGGTTTTTACAATTGACAGTGAGACAATCATCAAAAAACTGCAAAAAACAAACAATCAAATATCTCTCTCACTGTTGTGCTAATGTTAATACACCAGCATTTGCCATTTAAGAGGTAATCATCTTTGAAAGCTGTGATTTCCACACATTAGTTCTAAGAAATCCTTATATTTACTTCAAAAATATCCACACCAAAAAATACATACTAAAGAAATTATCTTAGTATATTCATGAATTAATACCAAGCTGTATCATTTTTATAGTGTGAATAATCAAAAGTTGATATTTCTCAGCAAACAGTCCCTTCAGACTGCAGATATGCATGAAATGAAAACATTAGTTTTGCTTTTCTTCCTTTACCATAAAGTGACAAATCAACTATTTGGTTGAGCATGTTTTTGAAAAATTAATACAAACACACTAATATTTTTTTATGCCACCAATCAACATAACATTGTAAAGTTAGGGCTCTTAGAGGGTAATATGTAAAAAAAAATGCTTACCTTGCAAATTTTCACCAAAAACAGTTCACATGTCAGGAGCGATTTCCTTGTTTTTGACTTTATTGCTAGAAGCAATGTTGTGATGAGTGCTGTTGAGTTATTGACAATTAGTGGATTTTTTAAAAAACATTTTTGGTATAACATACTTCAACCAAATGGTAGAGATGGCTCAATCAGGTTTAGTTAAGTACTCCTTTCAATGAAATACAGTCAGTCAAAATATGGTCAACCATTTGATCAAGCAGGCAGTTAAAGGGTTAATGCATGTACGACTGCTTAACTCTGAACAAAATAAAAAATGAAACATTTTAAACCAGCCTAAGATGTATTTCCAGTCTTGTTCGACTGGTCTCCCACCCTGACCAGGTGTTAAGTGCCTAAAACCGGTCTGAAATAAGACCACCAAATCAATTTAAGCCCAATGTATACTGTATTTTATCAGTCAAAAGCATTGCATTTCAAAGTAAACCCCAAAAAACAGCATGGACTAATGCTCAACACACTGGAAAAAAGGTTCATTAAATTTACTAACAATGTTTTTCCTTTTCTGAATTTTTTAAACAATAAAGGCATCTTCGTATTCATTTAAACTAGAGTTGTAGCTATATCTATATATTATCTATTTGATTACTGACAGAAATGTAATGTTGCCCCTTCTGCTCAATACTTTTGGACTGAATCAATGGCTTGGGCACCTTGTGGACAAAGCAAGCAGTGCAATGAAATATAAAAATGCAAGTTGCACACACAAAGTTTGTCTGTTTATAACAATTGGGCAGCAAATATACTATATGTGCGTATTATTCAGTGGAAAATTTGTGAGTAATCTTAAGTAAAGTTTAAGTATTCTTTGGTCTTTAAAAACGTTTTTCTGCTGGCAAGTCATAGTTTCCAATTTTAAATCAAGTGTGAACCTCGTCACATGCTTACTTTAATCCCAAGATCATATTTATGCATATTCAAGGATCAGCATACAGTAGGACTGGCACTAATATTATCATAGTAATAGAACATGAGTTCTGTTCACATATGGAGCTGATAATATGCCAAAAACAATCTGAATTTGAATTGTGTTCATTTGAATGACTGACATTTGTAATGTTATAAAATCTGAATAAATATGAACAAATCAGAATTTTTATATGCCAATAAAAATGTTTTTAATTTCTTGTTTTGAACCTCTTAATTTGAATTTCATAACTTGAAAACTGAACATCTGAAAATTAGGACAACTGGACTTTAATGTCAGATATTTTAGAGACATTTTTTTTTCGTTTACTGAACTCATAGACTGCAGATATCCAGTTTGTAAAAATACAGCTTTAAATTTTCAAGATAAAAATATTCAGAATATCAAATTCAGATTCTGTGTTGAAAGTAGGTCAGGGGTGATCAACAAAAAAAAGAGTAGATGATCAAACTAAGAAACCACCTCTGCATGATTCATGGTTATGAACGAATTAAAGGATGCAAATTATGGAGGTGTTTTTTTGGGGGATCTGGAAACAGGTAAAAATAGATGTTTTTAATCTACAAATAGCCTAATGGTCGAACAGAAGCTATCAGAACAACAATAAGAAAGTTAACAGAAGCTAATTTCTCATCGTTTGGCAAAATTAGCCATTATATATATATATATATATATATATATATATATATATATATATATATATATATATATATATATATATATACACATTATATATATAGACATTTAAAGGCTCAACTAGGTTAATTAGGTTAACTAGGCAGGTTAGGATAATTAGGCAAGTTATTGTATAATGATGGTGTGTTCTGTAGGCTATTGAAAAAAATAGATAAATGAAAATAAATTAAATACTGCTTTTATTCTAGCCAAAATAAAACAAATAAGACTTTCTCCAGAAGAAAAAATATTATCAGACATACTGTGAAAATGTCCTTGCTCTGTTAAACATCATTTGGCAAATATTTTAAAAAAGAAAAAATTCAAATAGGGGCTAATAATTCTGACTTCAACTGTGTGTGTGTGTGTGTGTGTGTGTGTGTGTGTGTATATATATATATATATATATATATATATATATATATATATATATATATATATATATATATATATATATATATATATATATATATATATTTATATATATGTAATTCAAATTAGGAAATTCAAATTTAAAACAATTTTCATGGCATACAATATTCAGTGTTATTAAATTACAATTGCTAATAATTCAGATTGTTTCGGCATATTTTAAGCTCCATAAATTCACACACCTTGTATTTTGGTCATGCATATGGTCGTAAATGGCCACTATTATTTTTGCAGTAATTAGTTTGTCCACAAGGTGGCAATGACAACTTGGGGAAGTCGATTCACATAGCAGTTTTTCAAAAGCTGCATAAATGGAACAGACTGGAAACAAGTGACAATGAAAACCTTTGCGCATGAGATTGTATGCAGTAGCTCAACTCATTGGTACAACTCTAGCATGAAAGAATACAAAGACATTTATATGCGACATACCCCGTTGTGAGAGAATACTCACAGAGCACACATCATCTGTGTCATTTCTAGTCCAAATATCTAAAAAGTCTTAAATCAAGAGGCATTTTAAGTACCTCTTGTTACTTGTAACAAGTAAAAAGGATAATTTTATTTTCAGAAATAATAAATAAGAATTAGGTGGTTTTTCCTGTATAAACAATCTGCCAATGGGGTGAATAAAATAATCTTGTTTTCGGTCTGAAATGAGATCATTTTGCTCACCCCATTGGCAGATTATTTAGATTTTTTATGGTATTTTTTAGATATTTGGACTCAAAACAGAACCAAAAAAAATTATATAAGAAAAGCACTGAAATTACATATGAGTTAAATGTCTATACGCATCAACTAAAGTATACTTTGAAAAGCTTGCCTTCAACTGTGCACACTCTACACATTAAAACCCAAATATATTCAGGTTTTAGTTGTTAGATTTAAATAAACAGCAAAAAGTCAATAAAACCCTAAGCTGAGTGCTTTTGAATGAACTTCACACAGTGGCTATGGCAAACTCTCTGCGCAGCACTCAAGAGTGAAACATTCATTTGGTCTCATTCCAAACCGCAGCCTCAGTATCCCAAAAATGGCTCTGTCCACCAACAGTGACCCTGCAACTCTGTAATGAGGAGAAAAGCAGTGCACAATACAATCAATGGCGCCATTAAACTTGAGGTCAAACTGCAAACAGCAGCACGGATCCATCTAGAATGTGCCATTTTCGAAGATCGGAGCGTTAATAAATCTTTGGCTGAATGTAAATGTCCTGCTATGAGATGGATGAGAGAAAACCTCAATCCTCCCAAGCCTTTTATTTCTCCTGAGCTGAGAGCGAGTGTGACAAAGCAAAAAAAATGGCTTAGTTGTACCCTGTGCGTTAGAAATATGACAATACGAGACTATCATTCATAGCTTCGCCAGAACCTGATAGCGGAGGCATCAAATGGACATTGTCCACAGCAGTATCGAAGACCCTTTCTGAGAAAAAAACATTGCCTTAAAAGACGTCTAGCTCTTCGAATGTGACAGCAAACATGGCTATGTCAAGATAGAAAGTCTGTGTAACATACTGTATATACAGTACGTGTGTCTATATGATGAAGTGTCAATTTTGAGGGCAAAAGAATTCAGGAAAAAAGGTTTATATTGGTTAAAAAAAAGGTGAATTTGATCCACCAACTCAAATCTGTAGCAAAAAAATCTGCAGATATGATGAAGTGTCAATTTCGACGGCAAAAAAATTCAGGAAAAAAGGTTTATATTGGTTTAAAAAAGGTAAATTTGATCCACCAACTCAAATCTGCAGCAAAAAAATCTATAAGGAAGCTTTTTGCCCTTCAGAATACACTAAATCTGTTTAAATGAGTGGATTTTACAAATGTAACACTGAGAGAAGAGGAAACCAAAAAGGCAGATGAAGCAAAAACGCAACATTCAGCAAAGTAACATTCATCTGAAGAGTGCACTCGCAGCAAGCGCACAATACCTTGCAAATAAAACCTCTATTCTCTCTCTCTGAGTGTGAAGGCAAGCATGAGATTGTGGCTCTGAGAATGAGGGAGGTAGAGACTTTGCTTCAGCTGCGATCATCTATTGGACTCCCCAGTGTGTTTGCTCCTACAATCTGTTCCCCTTCTGCTGTCAGTCAGTCACAGAGCCAAATGAGCCCACCCAATTCTGACATGCTGTCCCACTTTCACCCTTTTTGGTTTGTTTATGATGTCATCACTTCCACACGTGTGACCCAAGCATTTGATTTGACCCGGGCGCAGCTGTACCGCCCATGGACTGCCCGTATCCCATCACGTTATTGGCACCGTAGAAATTCATTCCTGCCATGTGTTGAGTCATCTGCGAGAGAGAGAGAGACAACAGAAACAGTCATTACAAGCATTTAACAGAAAACAACGATGACACTGACATTTGTTGTTTTCATTTGTTTTCCATCATTATTTTATTTGATGTTTATTGCTGTATCCCAATACGCATATTATCCATCTTATATAGTAGCCAAAAATAGAAGTACTGTAGTATGTCCTAAACCAGAGATGCTCAAACTAGGGCCCGCGGGCCAAAGTTGGCTCATGGTAAGCTTTGATTTGGCCCGCAATCCCATCTGAGAAGAGGGCAAGAATGATGGTGATGGTTTAGAGATTGTCATTTCAAATCTTATGCCTAGTTCAGACTGCGTGATTTTAGCCCCGATTTTGGCTCGCCGACAGGTTTTGAGAAATCGCCGACAAATGCCTGAAATCACAGGCAAATCGCTGCTCGTGCACGTGAGTGACAATCACACAGTATGAACTATCAAAGAGGCGATCCTTGAGAATCGCTGATGAGTCGCCGATGCCTGTGAGATATTTGGCGTGCTAAATATCTGGAGCTGTCGGCGATTCAAATCATGCCGTGTGAATTGAGTTTTGACTGAAAATAACATCAGCCATTGCCTACAGCCAATGAGAGAGCGGCTTTCACTTGTGTGTGCGTGTGTGTACCTGCTGCAGGCCAGCGGGAGGCTGGGGGAGAAGTAAAAGTGCTCTTTTTCGGTTTATTTGGACCCACGAAATGGAGGAAAAACTAGTGGAGGTTTGACAGGACTCAGGAGCAACCGTGTCTGTTTGACGTTTCATACAGAAATAGTTTATTATCAACGTTGAGGAGAAATGGCTAATTCCCTTTAAACCCAGGTGAGCAAACATGTACATGTTCTACCCTATTAAAGGCTTCTTTCTCATTATGTAGTTAATAATAAAATATATACACGTGTTTTTGGCTGTGAGACGTAGTTTGGACGAAGTTGTCGGCGATTCTCCCTATAATACAGTCATGCAATGTGAATGTCCATGTCGCCGAACCATCTTGCAGTGTAAACAAAGCAGCGACGAAACGCTAACCCAGATAGTCATGCAGTGTGAAAGCATCTGTGACACGACTAGTTTGAAAATCATGCAGTCTGAACTCGGCATAATGTAACCTTTTGTTTGTTTTATTGTTAAAAGCGAACTGAAATCAAACGTTTCAATTAAATAGTATGAATTAATCAGATTTTGCTTAAGCTTAACTTACCTTCCTTATAACGGACTACAAAACTCAAGCTGCGTCCCAAATCGCATACTTATGCACTATTCTACGACATTTTGTAGTATATATAGTGTATGTAGTGTATTCACACTGAAAACTCTAAAAATATTAAGTGCACTTTAATTACACGGATGACGCACTCATTCAGCCGCTAAAATGAAGTGTGTAATGATGGACACTTCACGCACTCAACGACCGCCGGTTTGCTTAAATAGCGGAAGGGGCAGAGCTATCGGACACACATGTTGGATAACTTTATTTATTTTGGATGGTGAAAGCAAAATTCTCCTACGAGAGTGATTATAGCACTTTATTTCACTTATTTGGCAACCGTCAAATGTCATCAGGAAAACAGTTTGAATTTCCGCTTAGTAAAAAAAAACATTAGTGCTCCATTTGGGACGACACTACATACATATACTATCCTGTTGAGTGTGTAAGTGCATAAGTACATAGTGCATGAGTGCATAGTGTGCCATTTGGGACGCAGCTTCAGTCATGCAACACACACACCCAACCGGTTCCAGATCCTGACTGATTAGATACTCACAGCTGATACTCATGACCACTGATTATTTGGACTATTTAAACCCCTCTGTTCCACACACGTGTTGCTGAGTATTGTTAAGCTGTTGCTGTCCGTACATAAGCGTTTTTCCCTGTTCCTGTGTTTTTGACCTATGACTGTTTATCGTGTTTTTGGAATACGCTTCTGGATCGTCTACTATACTGTTTATGCTGGTTTTCCACCCTTGCCTGTTTGACCATTCTCATAATAAAGCTGCATTTGGAACTACCCCTGTGTGCATAGCATCCATATGCAACACACTGCATGTATGGGCACAAACAGGTCTAGTGTTTTTTTGTTTTGTTTTTTACAATTGTGCGAACAGCATTTGCACAACTCCAGTCAATAATAATTCACTTGTCATTTCTGTACTAACTCGGTATCATGTATTTTGCTGCAAACACTACAAAATGGATTTGAGCTGAATGCACCTGAAATGTTAAGCGCAATCAATGTAAACAAAGCCTAAACCATTTGCTTGGTAATCATGATTCCGGCGCTTGTTACCTGGCTGATGTTCCACTGCAGCTGTTGGGCCTGCTGTGCTCCATATGCCTGCTGAGGAACTGCTGCCATGTTTCCCATCATGCCGTTCTGCATTCCCATTACACCGCCCTGCACTCCTGCCATGTATGGAGGAGCAGCTGCCGCTCCGGTTTGCGGCATGACACCCGCCTGTCCCACTATGTTCATATGTGGAGCCATCATAGGTCCCATCATGCCCTGCTGGGCACCCAGGGCCTGGTATTGGCCATATCCTGCAGCAGGAACATAGCCCATCTGGGTTGCTCCCATGTACATGCCAGCTAAAACAGAAAAACATGCATAAACTTTACAGAAGAACAGAAAGCGGCTCTGTTTCATTCTTAATCAGATCTCACCATGAGCCGCCATGTTTGTTTGTGGCGCTGTACTGCTGTACAGGGACAAGATTGAGTCCTTGGATAACTTTTTTCCACTGTCTTCACTTTTGGTTGGAGGATCAAGGAACAGACTGAGGTTTTCGGGCACTGATGCTGCTACCCGTCCAGTGGGCATAGACCCTGAGCTGGGCTACAATGAAAAACAAACAAACAAGCAAAAATCACTTGTTTGAAAAGAAGTAGGGGCGGCATTGGTGGCTCAGTGGTTAGCAATGTCACCTCACAGCAAGAAGATAGCTAGTTTGAGTCCCAGCAGGGCCAGTTGACATTTGTGTGTGGAGTTTGCATGTTCTCCCCGGTTTCCCCCACGGTCCAAAGACATGCGGTATAGGTAAATTTTGTAGGCTAAATTGTCTGTCCTGTATGAGTGTGAATGAGTGTGTATGGATGTTTCCCAGAGATGGGTTGCAGCTGAAAGGGCATCCGCTGCGTAAAACATATGCTGGTTAAGTGGGCGGTTCATTCCGCTGTGGCGACCCCAGAGTAATAATGGGACTAAGCTTAAAAGAAAATGAATAAATGAATGAAAGGGAGAAGGGGCGGCATGGTGGCTCAGTGGTCAGCAATGTCACCTCACAGCAAGAAGATTGCTGGTTCGAGTCCCAGCAGGGCCAGTTGGCGTTTGTGTGTGGAATTTGCATATTCTCCCCGGTTTCCTAGCAGTCCAAAGATATTCGGTATAAGTGAATTGGGTAAACAAAATTGGCCGTTGTGTATGTATGAGTGTGCGAGTGTGTGTGCGTGTGTGTGTGTGTGTGTGAATGCGAAAATGTATGGGTGTTTTCCAGTAGTGGCTGTAAGGGCATCCGCTGCATAAAAACATATGCTGGAATAGTTGGTGGTGAATTCTGCTGTGGTGACCCATGATATTGTATACAAGTCAAAGCTAGATGAATGAGTGAATGAAATAGATTAATCACTCAAAAATATAATAATCAAAATAATAATTAATTAGTGTAATTTGATATTATCATAACGTACATGTCCACATCTTTGAAAGTCGATTGGCTGGTCGCCCAGTCGGCTGTTCAGTCATTCAGTCAGTCAGTCAGTAAGACAGGCGGTTGGTCGACAGCGGCCTTTGGAGGGTTAACGCGAGAAAAGCGAGGGCGTGAACGGCACTCGCGAAAGAAATTTGAGATGCAAAACGTCCAAAGGACTACGTTTTTAGAATGAACCTGGTGTGTGAAAATTTGACTGAAGATTCCCAAAACAAACTTTTTACTTCAGTGGATTCACTTGGACAGATCAATTGTTAACCTAAAGCAGTGGTCACCAAACTTGTTCCTGGAGGGCCGGTGTCCTGCAGATTTTAGCTCCAACCCTAATCAAACACACCTGAACAAGCTAATCAAGGTCTTACTAGGTATACTTGAAACATCCAGGCAGGTGTGTTGAGGCAAGTTGGAGCTAAACCCTGCAGGGACACCGGCCCTCCAGGACCAGGATTGGTGACCCTTGACCTAAAGAATAACAATGTGCTCTAGCCAAATAAACACATCCATCACTGCAAAAAATATGAATGTAGCCCCAACCCAAATAAGTTAATTCTCTCTTGAAAACTCTTTACCGTGCTCCTGGCAGAGTTTGAGTTGCTGACGGCTGCAGGCAGAGAACTGAAGAGGTCGAGTGCAGGACTAATTTCAGCGCTTGGTTTGCCATTGGTCACTGGAGGTTGAGGTGCTAGGGCATCTAGAAAAGAGAACTTCAATGTAAAGGATCTATACTGACATGATTGTTCTGATAAGTGTACATATATTAGCATGTTACCTAGTCCTAGTAAGTCATTGACAGACTGTGACTGTTTCTTTGGAGTGCTTTTGAATTGTTGTGACTCGTCCTTTTTCTGCAAGACAAACATGTGTATATTTTGTGTTATTCAGTAATGACATCAATTTAATCAGTCCAAAGGAATTTATAATGAGTCTATGTATTTTGCTACTGTTTTTAAATTCAGGGTGTAAAAAATAAGGTTAGAAAAAAACATGATGAAAGCGTTTCCCAGCATTATTAACCACAGTCCCAAATTTACTATTTTGTAAATGAATAACTGCCATGCTAATAACCCATTAAGAAAATCCTGAGGGAAAACATGACATAAATGAGTTTTCAAGGATTTAGGTTTATAGATCAGTAGTTAGCAACAAGGGGAATTCATTCATTCATTTTCTTGTCGGCTTAGCCCCTTTATGAATCCGGGGTCGCCACAGCGGAATGAACCGCCAACTTATTCAGCACATTTTTGTGCAGCGGATGCCCTTCCAGCTGCAACCCATCTCTGGGAATAATATAAATATATATTTAAATAAATATAAATGGGTGACACGGTGGCTCAGTAGGTAGTGCTGTCGCCTCACAGAAAGAAGGTCCCTGGTTTGAGCCTCGGCTGGGTCAGTTGGTATTTTTGTGTGGACTTTGTATGTTCTCCCTGTGTTCACGTGGGTTTCCTCCAGGTGCTTTTATAAGTCCAAAGACATGTGGTACAGGTGAATTGGGTAAGCTAAAATTGTTCATGGTGTATGTGTGTGAATGGGAGTGTGTGTGGGTGTTTGCCAGTGATGGGTTGCAGGTGGAAGGGCATCCGCTGTTTAAAACATATGCTGGATAAGTTGACGGTTCATTCCGCTGTGGCGACCCCAGATTAAAAAAAGAACTAAGCCGAAAAGAAAATGAACGAAGGAATGAATTTAAATATATATTTAAATGAATTAAATAATAATTAAAAAATAACATTCTATATATATGAAAATTTTATTCAAGTCTGGTGATTGACTGGGCCAATCTAAAACTTGATTTTCTTTCTCTAAAACCCTTTGAGTTTTCCTGACTGTGTTTTCATGATTGTCTTGCTGAAATGTCCAGCCTGATTTCCCATTTCATCATTCTGATAATGTAGATCAGGGGTTCCCAAACTTTTCAGCCCGCGACCCCCAAAATAACAATGTCAGTGACTCGCGACCCCCAATATCCTCTGAGGTGGTTATAAATACAGAAACCTTGCATGCAATGACGCAGACACACCAATTAAATTTGTGTAAGTGCTTTAAATGTGCCAGAAAGTATAACCTGATGTTATAAAATCAAAATGTACTGACGCTATTGCTGCCTTTAATATAATGTAATTACCCCAGGGGTCGCAATCCAATAGAACTAGTAACTATAAGCTACTATAGTAACTATATAGTATATAGTAACTATAAACGACTGTTTTTATTTTCAGCATAGCGATGGATAAAATATGTTAATTCTAATGGTTTAATAAAAATAAATAGATTTTTGGAAATCACCAGGCGACCCCCCTTCATTGCCCCGCGACCCCTCGGGGGGTCCCGACCCCCACTTTGAGAACCACTGATGTAGATGATGGACTGAAGCAGCTAATTTTCATTTACACTAACGAAAGGCAGAGGGTTACTGAATAACTACTAAGAGATTTCAGCTGCTGTCTGGGATTTCACTGCCTTTCTACACCTCCCTTTCTTCATGTGTTTAATACTTTTTCCTACATCATTGCGTTTTATTACACACAACTTCATTTGTAAACTTATTTGATTTTTTTTTTTCTTTTCTTATGAATTTCTTTGGTTGTTCCCAAAATCTGGTGAAAATTTCAAGTCAACAGCACCTTTAGAATTATGTTTTCTGAGAAAAATGGTGAATTGTTCAATAATTATTTGATACTTATTAGTTTAAATATAAAATTAATTCAATTATTTTTATTATTACATTTAATGATTAAAATAATTAATTATATTGCTCCCCATAATGCTGTTTTCATCTGAGGAAGATACCATCCTAGAGAGCTCCGAACCATAGTGAATCAGTTTAATTTAAAAATATACTTTCTGTTAATATAAAAAAGGTTTGAAAAGAAGCTGCTTTGTCATAATTATAGGAGAAACACCCGGCATCGCAAAGCCTTAAATGAATGCTGCATTGAACAACAAAAGGCCTTTGAGTAAAAAAGATTGAGAGCTATTGTTATAAACAGCTGAAGTGCACAAATGTAGAAACCTACCAGCTTCATCTTTTCAAAAACAACGGGAGCCTCTTTTGTTACTGTTTCACTCTTTTCTTTCTGAAAATGCAAAAGAATGTTGTTATAGTTCAAAATCAAAGTGACAATCAAAACAAATGAAATATTTTTATGGCAGAATCTCAGAACATACCCTGAATGACTGGATGTCAATGCATTTATCCATATATTTTTTCTTATCATATTTGTCACGAATAAAAATCTCAGCCGCTCTGCATGGCGTGGCTTAAGGAAAGACAGTTTAGAGGGAGAACAGAGAAAGGAAGAGTTTTGAGTTTATTGCCATATCAGCTTCTCCGGCTATGTCATGGGAAAATCCGGTAAAATTTACAAACATTTCATAAATATCACTTTTTTTATAATAAAAAGATTGATAACAATAAAAAAGCATCAACAGCAATAAATGTTACATAAAACAAGATAAGTCAGAAACTGTTTTTTAAGATTTACCTATGATAAAAATTCTACCATTTTTGAAGGACTCGTGTTTTAAAATATAATCGCAAAAATCTCTCCAAACTAAAATTGTTGTTTTTAATGTTATCAGACAACAGTTTTTTCTGCTGTTGCAATATTGACATTTTAAAGGAACTTCCCCTTTGAGTAAATGTCTGAGTAATGGAAGGGGTGTTCATAAGGCTGTCACATGACATCACATGAATGTGAAAGAGTTATGTATGCTTATAACAATTGTTATCAAGTGTCATTTGCTCATTTTAAATGTAAAAATGACATTATTTGTTATTACAACTTGACGTAAAAAATACATTATAACTCATTTTTGTCTGTCATGACAACATTACCAATACAACAAAACTTGTCATAAATCTGTCATAAACAGGATTGCCATGAAGCTATTATGAATGTCATAAATTTTATAAGTGTCATTAATATATAAACAAAAACACACGCACACACACACACACACACACACACATATATATATATACAGTATATATATATATATATATATATGTGTGTGTGTGTGTGTGTGTGTGTGTGTGTGTGTGTGTGTGTGTGTCTCATTTTCTTTTTCACAGCGAAATGAACTTCCAACTACTCCAGCATATGTTTTACGCAGCGGATGCTCTTCCAGCTGCAACCCATCATGGAGAAACACCCATACAGACAATTTAGCTTATCCAATTCACCTATTGCACATGTCTTTGGACTGTGGGACAAACCAGAGTATCTGGAGAAAACCCACGCCAACATGGGGAGAACATGCAAACTCCACACAGAAATTCCAACTGACTCAGCCGGGGCCCGAACCAGCGACCTTCTTGTTGTGAGGCAATCGTGCTACCCACTGCAATATTTTATGTTTATATATATATTTTTAAACTCAACTACTGTTGAATGATTAAATATTAATAACACTCTTAAAAAATTTGACAGATTAATGACACTTATAATGAGGCATGTTAATGACAATTATTTTGTTCTACTTTACTGAAAAAAAGGGATCAGAAAATATTCATGACATTCATAATGGCTTCATGACAATCATGTTGATGACGGATTTATGAAAAGTTTTGTTATCTTAGTGATATCATAACAAACAATGTCATGACTGCATTTAAAATGACATAAATGAGCAAATGACATTTAATAACAGTCGTCATAAGCATGCATAAAAACTCAGTTGCATTTCATGACAGTTTTATGAACACCACATTCAAGTAAATAGTTGCCAAATAACCTTAAAACATGCATGTATACACACACACATTATATGTACTAAAGGATACTGGTCTGTCTCTGGGCGCTGGAAGCACTCTGGTAAAAAGGCCTCGTATAGTCTCCGAGCTTTGGCGTTCCCCATTTCCTGAACAGACTGAGCACAAAGTAACATACACATAAACACTATTTCTTTATCATCCATACATATGGTGCCCTTTAAATTGGAAACATTGAAAGCTCACCTGTATCTGCTCTTGAGTCCACTGGTCCAGGTTTACAGATTTCACTCGTGAGATGTGAACACCAAGATTCCGGTGGATTCCCGCACAGCGGATACAAATGAAGATACCAAGATTCCAGGATGCCCATCTGGGACCTGATAGACAAAGAAAAAGAATAAGAAAAATGGCATTAGAGAAATAAAACTTTTTTTTTTCTTTTTCTAGGACAGGACTACAGTCAATCAGTTTACCACCAGTCTACCATTTCATTTACTACAAAAATAATAAATTTGCAACTAAATTTTTAAATTATTTTTAATTTCATCAAACATGATGGAAGAGTAATTCATTTTCTAAAATGGTCTAATCCAGTTGTCCTCAACCACCGAGACACAGACTGGTATCGGTCTGTGGATCAATTGGTACCGGGCTGCAAAAGAAATCATTAATTATTTCCGTTTTATTTATTATAGAGTCTGAACAATCTTTTATTTGGAAAAATCTTTTATTTTGCATCACTATGTCTGTGCAAGAAGATCAGCTGCTGGAGATCCCAAATGATGGCGGCCTTTTAGGGGCCATTCGCATGTTGTCTTTTCTAGAGTTTGCGCAAGTTCATTGTTTCCAATGGCGGTGCGCAGCTTGTATCAGAACTTGTAGCAAGAGTTTTGTCAGCTTGTCTATATCTGAGAAAACGGTTGATGTTTTTTTTTTTTTTTTAACGCAGCGGATGCCCTTTCAGCCGCAACACATCTCTGGGAAACATCCACACACACACACACACACACACACACACTCATATACTATGGACAATTTAGCCTACCCTATTCACCTGTACTGCATGTCTTTGGACTGTAGGGGAAACCGGAGCACCCGGAGGAAACCCACGCGAACACGGTGAGAACATGCAAACTCCACACAGAAACGCCAACTGAGCCGAGGTTCGGACTAGCGACCTTCTTGCTGTGAGGCGACAGCACTACCTACTGCGCCACTGCATTACCCCTAGAATCATCATCATCATTGGTTCATCATTAAGGTCAAAATATTAGCCCCTTTAAGCTATATATTCTTCAACAGTCTACAGAACAAACCATGATTATACAAAAATTTGCCTAATTACCCTAACCTGCCCAGTTAACCTAATTAACCTAGTTAAGCCTTTAAATGTCACCTTAAGCTGCAAGGAAGTGTCTTAAAATATCTAATAAAATATTATGTACTGTCATCATGGCAAAGATAAAATAAATCAGTTATTAAAGATGGAGTTATTAAAACTATTATGTTTAGAAATGTGTTGAAAAAAATCTTCTCTCCGTAAAACAGAAATTGGGTAAAAATTAAACAGGGGGATAATAATTCAGGGGGTTGAATAATTCTGAGATCAACAGTATCTAATAATAACAATTATTATAGAAAAAGATTTATTTTGATAGCAATGTTCATTTATATATATCCTACATGATCTGACTGACTGAAATTCTGCAAATCATTATTATGCCATAACAATTCAACTTCCTGTGGGGAGTGGCCAGCCCAACTCAATTGATATTCCATCTCATGAACAGAAACAGCGAAAAAAATAAATAAATCAGAATTCATCCTAAACTCAAGCAATTTAATGAGTCAGTGAAGGAGAGAATGGCCAGAAAAACACAGACAGAAGGGAGCGAGTGATAGAGAGAGCCTGCTGAGGAGAGATATTTACATTCTCCTGCCTGGCATTAGAAGAGAAAATAAGAAGCTTCGCGCACCGCAATGACTAATCCAGTTTGGGCAGTCATGTGGACACGCTGGCACAACGCTGATAACACACATACACACACACACACAAACACACCCACCAGCCCCTGCAGCATCTGTAGTCCTTCCCGCTGCTCTTAAATCATACATGATAAAGCCCACACAACATTCAACAAAGCCATCTGAATCTGAACGCTGCCTGAAGGTGCTCTTATCACCATTTTATTCCCCGTTATGTAACCGTACTCCACTGAGACATGATGAGCGAGCTTCAAAGACAAAGCTCCAAGCGGAAGAGATTTTCGGCTTTTATAACGCAATGCCAATTTAGTCCGAAAGGTGGCAGCAGCGCGTTTTGTTTTTGCTCTGGTTGGTCTCCTGATGTGATGTCAGAGAGGATTGTTGTGGCAACATTTCTGCTTAATTGCTTGGTGTTTTCTGGAACGAGCGCACAGCATCATGGGACGGACATACCTGCTGTTTACACAGCGCACCTGCTGTGCTTATCTTCGTCTGAGTGGATCTAATTTGACACAAAATAGACAGTTTTTGGTCTTCAGCCGTGAGTGTAAGCATTAGGCGGTGCGCCCACAGTGTGTTCAATAACACTCACAAAACTGAAAAGCACTTGTGGAAATAATGAGCTCCAATCAGACTGGGGAATAAAATGAAATAAATCACTAATTCCATGCAAATGTCATGTAAATGTCATGCAAATGTCATGTTGCCATGAAAAAAAAAGTTTTCACCAAAATAGGAAAACCCTAGCTAGTTTTTGTGTAGGTTAGTATTTTAGAGCACTGTTAAAATACTCAAAAATGCCTCTGTTAATGCCTTCAAACATTTGTATTTGATTACCCAAAGTCACACAAGGGGCATAACGGTGGCGCAGTGGGTAGCACAATCGCCTCACAGCAAGAAGGCTGTTGGTTCAAGCCCTGGCTGGGTCAGTTGGCATTCCTGCGTGGAATTTGCATGTTCTCCCCGTGTGGGTTTCCTCCAGGTACTTCACTTTACCCCACAGTCCAAAGACATGCAGTATACAGCTGAAGTCAGAATTATCAGCACCCCCCCCCCCCCTTATTTTTTTACCCAATTTCTGTTTAACAGAGATTTTTTTTCACATAACATACTAGTTTTAATAACTCATCTCTAACAACAACTGATTTATTTTATCTTTGCCATGATGACAGTAAATAATATTTGACTAGATATTTTTTCAAGACTCTTCTATGCAGCTTAGAGTGACATTTAAAGGCTTAACTAGGTTAATTAGGTTCGTTAGGGTAATTAGGCAAGTTATTGTATAATGATGGTTTGTTTTGTAAACAGTCTGAAAAAAAATTTGCTTAAAGGGGCTAATAATTGTTACCTTAAAAAGGTTTTTAAATTAAAAGCTGCTTTAAACCTAGTCAAATTAAAACAAATAAGACTTCCTCAAGAAGAAAAAGTATTATCAGACATACTGTGAAAATTTCCTTGCTCTGTTAAACATCATTTGAAAAATATTTTAAAAAAGAAAAAAAGGGGGGCTAATAATTCTGACTACAACTGTAGGTGAATTGAATAAGCTAAATTGGCCGTAGTATATGAGTGTGAAAGAGTGTGTATGGGTGTTTCCCAGTGTTGGGTTGTGGCTGGAAGGGCATCTGCTGTGTAATAACATGTGCTGGATAAGTTGTCGGTTCATTCTGCTGTAGAGACCCTGGATTAATAAAAGGACTGAGCTGAATAGAAAACGAATAAATAAATGAAAGTCACTAATTACACTACATCAATAACAATTGACCATCCCTTACACCTTAACCCACCCTTAAACCCACATATACCACCAAACCTACCCCTAACCCTACACGTATCCCACCTCAAGAGCACCAGAAGTCTTCTGCAGTACATTATAAACACGTTAAGTACATCGCGTTTTTTTTTTTTTGCTACAAGTACAAAATAGTAGTTTAGGACACCTAATAAAAAGTGAGATCTGTCGTGAATTCAGACTTCTTATCAATTAGAAATGATCAGACCGGAGGTTTTGAATATCAGAAAATAGACTTTTTATTCTCCATAATAAAGCCGAGAAAGAGCAGAGCAGACCTCATAGCATTCTCCTCCTGCTCCTAAAGTTTCAGTGTGTTTCCAAAATCTTTATACAGGATTTTTTGACACACCCCTAGGTGTCTCATTTTAACTTTTAACCATTTTAGAATAGGTTTTTACTCTAAGGGGTCCTGCTATTCTTGGCTCTCAGCCCACTAGCTCATGTCAACAGAGATGTTACAGGTCTATGTCAGCATAGTATAGATGCAACTTATGCAAAGGAACTAAGTGTTTACATACATTGTTATGATAGGATAACTTGATAATATGTTACTCGTTCTAACTTCTGACACATATAGCTTCATACAAGTATTTAACATACAGTATATGATCAGGGCTTTACATATTCAGTTATTCTACACAATCAGTCTTCAGCATAGCCTTCTCCTAGTGTTGCTCCTGTGCAGGCATACTCATCTTACACAGACACATCACTGTATTTTTAACACATGCTGGCATGTTTGCTGCAAACACTACATACATTTTGAGAAGAGAAAATTGACTACATACATTTTGAGAAGAGAAAATGAACTGCTTTACACTTACTTCACACTGAGAGAATAGAAATCTTCTTTAGATCCAACCGTGATATAAAGTGTTACCCAAAAGTGTAAAAAACAGTTAGTTAATTTGCAGTTCAGTTAGTTTAGTTTTATATAAACTGCATTTAATTTAATTTTAAGAGTTATGAATTGAATCACATTGCGACACAATGGCAGAGTAGGTAATGCTGTCGACTCACAGCAAGAAGGTCGCTGGTTCGAGCCTCAGCTAGGCTAGTTGGCATTTCTGTGTGGAGTTTGCATGTTCTCCCTGCGTGGGTTCGCGTGGGTTTCCTTCAAGTGCTCTGGTTTCCTCCACAGTCCAAAGACATGCGGTACAGGTGAATTGGGTAGAATAAATTGTCCGTAGTTTAGAATGTGAATTAGTGTGTATGGATGTTTCCCAGAGATGGGTTGCAGCTGGTAGGGCATCCGCTGCGCAAAAAATATGCTGAATAAGTTGGCAGTTCATTCTGCTGTGGCGACCCCAGATTAATAAGGGGACTAAGTCGAAGAAAATGAATGAAATTAAATACTCCTGCACTGCATGTGTACAGAACAGGATTGCACAATAAAGCACAAACTGGCAACCGGTTTTAACTCTAATGTGTACATTAACTTTTGCTGTTCTATTATCTGAGCTTTTCCAGCATCACTCACCTCTAAACAGCACATAAAACAAATAAACAGTGGTTGGCTTCAGCAAACGTCAGTCAGATGGTCTCTTTCCTGTCTAAATGGCCGGAAGCTGACCAGACCCTCTTCTGGAAATCAATGTCGAAACCATCTAACCTTGTTTGCTTTAAACCTTTCTATGTCCCAAAAAAAGCTCCGAAAGACAAAATCCAATCACAGGAACATGATATCTGATATGTTATTCTGCAATAAAATGTGCTGATTTGGCCTTTAATGGGAGCACCAAGGCATTGCTTTATATCTGCACTATGCTCACGGTCACACTAACATCTGAAATTTGCCATTGGCTCTAATGCGAGATGGCTCTGAGCCAGAGAGGAAAGGGATATTCCCGATGGGATGCATGCAGCTGTATAAAACACACTTTCTATGAGCTCTTCTGTGCTGTGGGACTATTTAGATTACCTATTCATCCCCCACCTGCAAATATCCCTCCTCTGTCCGTCTCCCGCTGAAGCCGCCTGCAACGGCAAAGGGGTAATCAGCTTGTGCGGTATTACTGGAGGACACCGGGGAGAGAGAGAAAGAGAGAGAGAGAGAGAGAGAGAGAGAGAGAGAGAAAGTGCATTTATGTGTGGGATGAAGGACGGACCGAAGAACATGTGAGGCTGTAATAAACAGCCAGGTGGAGTCAGGCAGGTTTCAGGGTGAATCACAAAAGAGAACGGAACAGGATGGAGAGATTCGCACATGCAGATCACACTTACTGGCCTATTAGAGAGAGAGAAGCGCCAGGAAAAAGGACACGTGCCGAGCCACCTGTTTATTAGTGGTACTTAATAAACTAAATATCAGCATGATGGTCATATTACGGAGTTAGGATTTGAGCGATGTTGAGATATGGACGCTGTAGCCATGCATTTACAGACAAATGTGTTGGCATCTTTTTATTGGATTATCATAATGACGTTTGACCTGGAAGATAACAAAATAAAATCAATTTAGGGCTAAATAATAAGGATGGGCTTAGGGTTGAGTGATTTAGGGAAATATGTAATTGCGATATTTTTGTTGTGATTTGATTTGTGATTACAATTATTTACGGTTGAGATCGGTTTACACTTTAAAGGGCACCTATGATGCAAAATCAATTTTTGGAAGCTGTTTAGACAGAACTGAGTGCAGGTGCAGTGTGTCCACTGTCATTTTGAAGTGATATACAGTGCATCTGGAAGGTATCAAACATCTTCCACTTACGGATGATGGAGACCACTGTGATCATTAGAACTTTCAGAGAAGCAGAAATTTTCTGTAACCCAGCCTTGTGCCTTGATACAATCCTGTCTCAGAGGTCTACAGACAATTTCTTTGTCTTCATGCTTGGTTTGTGCTTTGACATGCACTGTCAACCCTGGGACCTTATATAGACTTATATAGGGTTATCAAGTCCAATCAACTGAATTTACCACAGGAACATCTCAAGAATGATCATAAGAATCATTCTAAGAATTTTTTCACATTGTCATTATGGGGTATTGTGTGTAGAATGTGGAGGAAATAAATAATTTTTTTCCATTTTGGAATAAGGCTGTAACATTAAAAAATGGGGGAAAAGTGAAACGCTATGAATACTTTTCGGATGCACTGTATACCCCACACACACGAAATGTTTGGGATTGGTAAACCTCCATCTTTGTGAACATGAAACTTTAAGTTTAAGTTAAGAAATAAAGTATTAATTATTATTATTATTATTATTATTTTAAAACATATTTTTAAATGTAAAATTTAGATGTAAGCTACCAGACAAGACACCTTTTCTTTGACACTCTCCAGACAACACTGCTGATCTACATAAAAGAGTGAACAGCTTCCTCTCCAGCTCAACAGCAGTCTTGTTTACCGTCTGTTTGGAAATTTACAGGGCCGCAAAGCTGTCTGTGCGTTGCTCTTAAAGTTTCATTATATGCTGTGATCTACTGTGTGTTCCTCTGACAGGCGGCACTCAGGTCTGACAAAAGAGTGA